TTCTTAATATGATTAAACTATTAAATTGTATGATATGTGACTTATATGACAATAAAAAGATAAAAAAGAGAAATCTCCCAACATACCAGTGGCAAACCGCTTCTTTAGTAAGGAAAGCCTATAGCCAGTGCCTACAAGTTCAATATCAACTCCTGAGAGGGTACTTCCCTCGCTGACAAATTGCACCGCCAGTGTGGTTGGTTTACTGGGTCCTTCTGAAAGGTCAAATTTTGCTCTGAGGGATCCTGAACCTACAAGAAAAAGCATAAAGAACTTACAGAAAGGCAAATTACATCTCATACCAAATGAAATTATTAAACCATCATTCATGTTAGCTCAACAACATCAAATTCACCAAACCTATGAGTCATGAGAAATAAATGAGTCATTCCAGTCAGGTTTTATTCCGTGAATTAGAACTAGTTTTCAGTGAGCAAATCATCTTAAATTCACGCTTCTCTCCGGTTCAAACACACCTTCAGAGACGTTTACTCCTGAAAAGCTTGTGCACTGGACATACAAGAGGGCTTCAAACGTTCATGAAGACACGCATGAGGACAGAATCTCCCATGGCTTTTGAAGCCTCGTGTCTGAAAGGGAGCCAAAAGCAGCAAGTCACCCAGGAGAGCTCAGAAGGGTGCAGGAGCCCAAGAGAGACCAAGGTAGGATAAAAGAAGAAAAAGAAAATTATTTTGCAGGGGGCCTGTAGCATGTGGTTGGGAGAGGCAAAGAAGGAAAAGCAGCTAAGATTAGCATTTTCTAGTCACTTTTCTTTAAAAAACTGTACTAACATCCTGCCAAAGAAAACCTTTCTGAGGGGGTTTCTTTCTGACATCCCCTGTATTCAACGCTTCATTCTACAGAAGTAGTAAGTCACTAATTAACCATGAGTGAATGGGACAAAAGGCACCAAGAGGCTCTTGGAGCTATGGGCACACAAACACACCTGTCTCTGCCCAAATGGACAGATGGTGATAGTAATCATACTGTCATAGTCAGAGGTAACTAGAGGTGCTGAGATGGGTTACCTGCATGAAAAACCAACCCCAAAGGCTGGAGAACTGGTGCCTGTGCACGGAGAGGGGCAGAGGTAAGACTAGAGCGGTCGCAAGCACCAAGCTCTAGATAATTGTACGTGTCACATCAAGAGACGAGCACTGCATGAGGGGAGAAACACCACGAGAAGGAAAACCAGAACAGCCAGCTGAGTGTTACAAGGACGAACGGCAGGGAGTCCACTGGAAAGTCAGTAAAAGCCGACAGATCAGAACTGGGCTGGGTGAGGCAGGTGGATAGAAACCAAACCAAACGTATTGTCATCGAGTCCATGTCTGCTCAGTGTCCCTATAGGACAGGCTAGAACGCGTGCTGTGAGTTTCTAAGACTATAACTGTTTATGGGAGTAGAAAGCCTTGTCGTTCTCCTGAGGAGCGGGTGGTGGTTTAGAGCTAAAGACCTTGTGGATTGCCGCCCAATGTGTAACCACTACACAACCAAGACTCCAAGTGGCTAGAACTGCTGGGTAAAGTGATGTGCAGTGACTCCCTGAACAGTAGTTAGTATAAGACTACAGAGAAAGCCACATGGTGCCCCAACACGGATCCTTCCTACACCCTGGTGTCTGGTGCTGTAGGTCAGGAACGGAGACCAACTGCTGCCCAATTCTTTTTTAAATCATTGTATTGGGGGCTCATACAACTCTTGTCACAATCCATCCATCCATTCGTACCAAGCATATTTGTACACTTGTTGGCATCATCATTCTCAAAACATTTTCTTTCTACTTGAGCCCTTGGTATCAGCTCCTCATTTTCCCCCCTCCCTCTCCCACCCTCCCTTATGAAACCTTGAAAATTTACTATTATTATTTTTTCATGTTTTACACTGCCCGATGTCTCTCTTCACTCACTTTTCTGTTGTCTGTCCCCCAGGGAGAGGATTATATGTAGATCATAGTGATCAGTTCTCCCCCGACCTTTCCCTTACCTTCCTTGTATCACTACTCTCATTTTTGGTCCTGAGGGGTTTATCTGTCCTGGATTCCCTGTGTTTCCAGCTCTTATCTATACCAGTGTACATGCTCTGGTTTAGTCAGATTTATAAGGTAGAATTGGGATCTTGATAGTGGGGGGAAGAAAGCATTGAAGAACTAGAGGAAAGTTGTATCTTTCATCGGTGCTATACTGCACCCTGACTGGCTCATCTCCTCCCTGCGACCCTTCTGTAAGGGGATGTCCAGTTGCCTACAGATGGATTTTGGGTCTCCACTCCACACTCCCCCTTATTCATAATGGCATGATTTTTCAGTTCCTCGATGCCTGATACCTGATCCTATCGATACTTTGAGATCACACAGGCTGGCATGCTTATTCCATGTAGGCTTTGTTATTTCTCAGCTAGATGGTCTTCAAGCCTTTAAGACCCCAGATGCTATATCCCTTGAAAGCCTGGCACCATCAGCTTTACCACATAAGCTTTGCTTATGCACCCGTTTTATCTTCGCTGATTGTGTTGGGAAGGTGAGCATCACAGAATGCCAGGCTAATAGAACAAAGTGTTCTTGTGTTGAGGGAGTACTTGAGTGGAGGCCCAATGCTCATCTGCTACCTTAGTACTAAACCTATAAATATATGCACATAGATCTATTTCCCCATCGTCAAATATAAATATATTTACATATGTACATGCCCGTATTTAGATATCTATAAATGCCCTTTGGCTCCCAGTTCTTTCCTCTATTTCCTTTTACTTTCCTCCTGTCCCACTATCATGTTCAGCCTTGGTTTGGATTTCAGTAATTCCTCTATGCCCAATTCTTAACAAATGCCCAAGCCCTCCTAAAAGTGTTTATAATTTCTGATCTGCAATGCACGTCTGTGATGGTTCCACCACAGGCCCAGAGTAAGTCATCTTAGAAATCCTTAACTTCAGAATTTGTCCTGTCCCCTCCTGGGCACATGAGCCACAGACAGAAGCATTTCTATCATATACTTACCTAATTTGAATGTTTCTTTTTAAAGGCTCAACTGATACAAAGTGTCGCCTGATTCCACTTCAGCTCCCCTACAAGACAGGCGAGCACTGCCCCATAGGGTTGCCACAGTGGTACTCTTTTCCTTTCCTGGTGGTACCATATTTGTACGCATGCAGCTCACATGTGCCTTCTATTCTCCTTGCACATTGCTACCTCTTCCTGAGGGGGGTGGGTGCTATGCCAACTTATTTTTACATTAAAAAATTGACAAAGCAGCATTCATGAAAATATTTCCCAGATGAGGGAGCAGCTGGCCAACAAACTTAGAAGGTGGGTGTTATTTGTGCACAATTATAATTACTCTTTACAGAATCAGACTGCTGCATCTTGCTCACACACAACAGGTGTGAGCTGCTAAACTTCCAGTTAGCAGTCAAACACTTATCAAACCACCAGAGCTTAATACAACATGATAACCACATTCATTATATTTTTCCATTTCCTCTTATAGATCCCCTAATACCTGAATAATAGATGAAAATATCTGATTATGAAAATCTGCACGGTGCCCGGCTATCAATCAGAATAGTGTCTGGGGTTTTAACTTAAAGGCTTGCATTCAAACAAACAGCCATCCATCTAAGCGAGGAGTCAACTAAGTCCACATGGAAGAAGCACACCAGCACGTGTGATCCACAGATGACAACGACAAAACTCAAATATGGTGAGGAGAAAAGCGTCAGAGCTAAAATCATGAACTCCCAATCTGTGGAGGGCTAGGGGTACGGCAGGAGCCCAAACCATCTGCAGAGTACCAGGTCAGACTGAGTCACTGCAGATCCACTCCAGCCACAGGCATGAGTTCTGTCAACCTTCCTATCAGACAGAGACAAGTGTAACTTGATTATGCTGGACTGAACTCGACACTCGGCTAGTTGACCACCTTACAGGCACGAGCGAAATTTGTTCTGGGTGCAAGTATCTCTTACTGGTTCCATGACAGAAATGTCTTCCTTCCCTTTATTATTACTGGGGATCTTTTCCTTCTTATGCATTATTAGTATTTTTGTCTGTATACATTATGTTTTTCCCCTTACCACCTTAACATGACTTTGTTACCTACTGCGTTCTGTTAGGTCTTCCAGTTGTGAAGCACAGGGAGAGTGGGTGGGTGTATTGTGGTAATTATGGATACAAGGGGTTACAGGGAGTACAGGGTGGGGTGGGGGACATAGGGAAGGAAAGGGATTTTGGGGAGTAACTAATGAAGATGGGAGGCAGGTGGAAATGCTAGAACAGATTATAATTGCATAAATCATCTTGACAGTTTAACCAAGGGGGGCACTCTAAAACAGATGTGGGGGTGATTGTACAATTCTCCTTGAAATAACTGAATGATTGAACTATTGAATTTATATGATATGTAGATTAGTTGCGAATAAAACTGCTGGGGAAAAAATCTTTATCTCACGTTTTAGAACAAATTCCTTTCTTGATAAGTGTACCAACTCACTTATTGACTGGCTAATGATCTGACATTTGGATTGAGGACAAAAGTAAAAGAATCTGACTATGCTGTGCATTAATGATATACATCTGGCAGTAGTGACTAGAGAGGTGCTAGGCTGCAATGGTCAATGTTATGTGTCCACTTGGCTGTGCTATTAGTAGATTCATAGTAGCCCAGTGGTTATGTAATCATCTAGTCACCCTCAGCTCTGTGATGTAAAGATGTCATTCTCCATTTTCACTTAATGCCGATTTCTAAAATAACGAGTGGGTCTTTGGAACCTAGCCATGTTGGTAAGTGAGAGGTGGATGCATTTAAAACAGTGTGTTTTTCCGAGGAAAAAATTCTTCGTTCCTTCCTTGCAAAGTGTTCTTAAGCCCTTAATTCAAGTAAGATTTCTGTTTCATTTCTAGGTTAGTCCCCTAAAAACTAAGAGAGTAATGCAGCTGGTAAAATTCAGTGCAGCTGGTCAACTTAAGAGGCAACCTCTAAGTACCCAAAACAGTAGCAAAACCTACGCAGTAGACCAGATATTTCACTGTGTGGCTCTGCTTCTGCATGGCAGTGCATGTTACAGACAACACAGCACACACGCCCATGGTCCATTGCACTGAAACACTTATGAAGACTATACTGATGCGTTTTATGTTTCAATCACATTGTACTTTAAACGTTTAAAAAGGCTGAGCAAAACTTGAAAAGCCAAAAAGCTAGTCCACAAGAAGTTATTGGTTGTTAAGTAAGCATTCAAAACCGGGCAGAGGAGTTCTTATTTGCTTAAGAACAAATGCAACTATCTATTGTTAAGGCTTGCTTGTTTTGGGAACTGAACCCTAACCACAGGTTGAATTGATGAGGAGACACAAGGACTGACCTTCTAGCAGAGACTTCCCTGTGCATTGTGAAGACAAACGGGCAAACGTGGTGGGAAACAGTAATGAACGTGTTTCTCCTTAAACGGTCATCACAGAACTGACAGCAGCCAACAGTTGTTTTAATAGGATTACTCGGCCAGGAGAGAGAGGCTCTCTTAGAACAATAACATAGGCAAAGAGACTCTTGTTAAGGCGTGGAGGCTTTCACCTGACGTCTGGGAGGGAGGAGAACCCCACCAACAGAATCTGAGACTAAAGACACTGAGCACACTCTATTAGGTGCTTTCCTTTGATGCTGCTTGCACACAGTCACTTACGTAACACTGACAAAGCTATACGAAAGCAATTTATTTTTCTGACAGAGAAAGCATATTCCATCTAGAGAGGAAAAGGAAAAATATGTTCTGGATCCTGGCAGGTTCACTCTTATTTAAGGCATTAAGTTCCACCTAGTGGCCAATGCCAGAACTGACCAGAAGGCAAGAAATTCCAACAGGAAATTTCAAATAAACGTGCCTGAAAATTTATTTTCAGTGGCCCCACACTGTAAATAAAAAGCACATATATACTTACCTCCATTTTCTGATTTTTCTGAAATACCAGACAATTTCCAAAGGGCTTTCATTTGTTCTGCATTCCTAAATAAGAATAAATATCTTTGGATCACATGTCTAGTATCATGTACACATGCATAAATTCAATATTCGTTTTATAAAATTTCACCAGAACTATTATAGTGCTAAATTGGATACTCTGTTTAAAAATGTATTTACAGTATAGTATAAATACAATGCACCAGGTTTTTCGATTAATGGAAATTTACTAAATTACATAATTGTTCTCGTTTCTATTGGTCAGAGAAAAGAAAACTGCAAGTGTTATCTGCGGCCCAGTACCTTCATTAACAAGGAAAACCAACCATTCGTACAAAGTGAAGCAGACAGATAGGAAGCGTTAGCATCTATACTAGCAATAGAAGACACAAGAGAAGCAGTTGAGGGACTGGAGTAACGAACACTATTGAGCCAGATGTGACTCCTGTGAGATCAGTGTAATGCTTACAGAGCTTAGCAATCTGCCCACGGGAAAAGGTTTATTTTGGATGGAAGTTACTGGCGCTAACATTGAAAGGAACAGCATTTTTCATACTAATGGCTGATAAGGGTAAGCACACTACAGGTTTTCCCACTTAGAAAACAACTCTCAGAAGTTGGGCTCTAAAAGGCGGATTGCAGCAGCAGTTTGGCAGACTTTGGAAGAAGATGGATGATTTACCATGTTGCAGGGGGCAGGGACTGCATGTGTGTGACTCCTCCGTCCACGGGCACCACCACCTGCATGTTGGAGAGCACGCTGGGAGCCACCATGGCTTCCGGGTTGTACTTGTAATCCACTCTGAGGTCCGTGGTGCTGGCACTGCATTTCCAGTATGTTGCAAGATTCAGAGGAGTAGACTGAATACCATTGGATGACACCTTCATGGAGGAGAGACACACCGAAAAGCCAAATCCGGAGCTTTGTTTTACTTTAATGGCATGCATCCTTCCCTATCTCTAGTCGCTAGCTTAAAGTAATGCCGGCTTTTACCAGGAGTAAGAAAATCTCTCAAAGGGCGGACCAGGGACTACCTGCCTTGTTAAAAAATGAGCCTTCCTCTGGGGCCATCTGCAGACCATGAGATCTAGCAACATGGTGACACATATCTACACATGTACAGTTGAGTGTTGAGAGAATGTCTCGACACTCAACATAAAATTCTATGATTCTTTATGAATCTTAAACCAGTGAGAGAAAAAAAGTCACCATGTAGTTCGCATGTTAGAATGCTTCTAGCTTCAAACGCTTAACTTGAACACAGGGTCCGGCTTAGGTAGCACAATTCCGTGAAAGTTTTCAGCTCTTTTGCTCAAATGGCTCCTTTTTAATGAGACCCATTCTACCCACTCTGCCTGAATTTACACTGCAACTTTCATTTTTCGATCTTCCTTACCTTACTCTACACACTGCCTTTTCTCTATAGCATGTATTTTCAAACATAAAAATTATTTATTAGATTCACTGTTTCCCCATCCACAATCCCGGCAATTAGCAAGCACTAATGTTTGTTGACTGAATGAACAAATGAATACTTGGAATAAACTGTAAGTATGCAATTTAAGTCACGGCACTTTTTAAAGTATCCATTTCCTAGCAACATAATCCATCTTAAAACAACTTCCATATTAAACATTCCAAAAATGATGTTGTTGTTAATTGCCACCAAGTTAATTCCAGCTTGTTTCCCTTATGTGCACAAGAATGAACTGCTGCCTGGTCCCCGGCCATCTTCACAGTGACCCACATGCCTCAGTCATCACTGCAGCTCTGTGCTAACCCTCCCTGGCCCTTTACTTCACCAAACCGGATGTTCTCCTTGGGAACCAACCCCTCCTGATGACGTGTCCAAAGCACATGAAGCTGTTCATTTTATTGAGGGTCACTCTCTTCTTCGCTGTGGCCCAAAGGTTTTCGTTGGTTCGTCAGAATTAGATTGTTAGATCTTTCTTCCTCGCCTGAAAACTCTGCTGAAGCCTGTCTATTACATTACAGCGTCTATTATCATAGCAACATGCAAGGCATGGCACCACAGGAGAATAAGCAGGCAGTAGTCAAACAATATAGAAGTATATACAAAAGAAATGCTATGCCCTGGCAATTCTATTCTCATCGTTATCTGCTCACAAGAGTATGTATATCTATCTGGTTCAGGAGTTTTCAGGCATATGCCAGCATGATTCCACCTCCCTCTTTTCAACGTCTGCAGTAACATTAATCAGTTTCCTCCTCTACTGGTGTACATGTTTCTAACCAATGCTGCAAGGATTATCTTTTGTATCTTTATCTTTGCCCACGTGTGTGATTTCTCAAGAATAGATTTTGAGAAATGGAATTGATGAATGAAAGATTACATCTGTTTAACAATATAATAATCTTCAAGAGTTCTACTAATTTGTACTCATATTAACCGTGGTCAAATCCCTCTTAATTCTATATAGAGCAACCTTATTTCACTTTTGTTAATCTCTAAAATTGAGAGCTCATTGCTGCCTTAATATGCCTTCTAGACTAATAGTGACATGGAGCTTCTTTCCATATATTATCCATCTGTTGCTTAAAGAGCTCTCCGGGGCAAGTCCTAAGGTCTATCTTATGTTCTGCAAATACTCTTCTCTCAGATTGAACACTGATTCCAGTTCAGGGTTGGCTTTAATCAAATATTTTCTACACACACATTTATTTATATGTGTCATATATCTCAATCTCTTCTTGTATAGCTTCTGCGTTTTGTAGTATGCTTAGAAAGGTCCAGATTAAATTATACGTGGTACACATATTTGCAGCACAGACCTATTAAAGAGCCAAGATGCCACTTTGAGGGCCAAGAGGCACCTGCCCTAAACCATGGTAGTTTGAACCGCTTCAGATGCACGTGAAAGCTGGAAGTGGACGAAGAGGGATGCTTTGAGTTAGGGTGCTGGGGAAGACTATGGAAAGGACCATGGACTGCCCGTAGAACAAGTGTGCCCTGCAGGAAGTACGGTCAAATGATCTTTAGAAATGACGGTGAGACTTTATCTCATTTCCTTCAGACATGTTATCAGGGAGCCCAGTCCCTGGGAAAGAACATCATGCTTGGGGACATACAGAAGGGGCAGCGGAAAAGAGAGAGGCCCTCAATAAACTGAACTGACACAGTGCTGCAGAAACAGATTCAAGCCTAACAAGTATGAAGCTGCTGCAGGACCATGAGCATTTCATTCTGTTGACACAGGGTGGTTCTGAGTCAGAACTGACTCGATGGCATTTCCATACACATACATTCATCTGTATTTCTGTACCTTTATGGGTTTCATTTATTACCAATAGGTCATTTGTGCCTATGGGCTTTTATTTTGTTTAAGTGTGAGTTAGGGATTCAGCTTAATTTTTTCCCAAATGTCTAGCCTGCTACCCAACCCAACACAATGTATTGAACAATTAATCCTTTCCACATTATCTCGAAATGCTACTTTGCCATACATTTATGTTTTCAATTTCTTTTTAGAACAGTTTCTGGATACTCTAATCTGTTCAAATTCATTTGGCCATCTACTGCTGTGACAACTTCAAAATTATTAAATATCGACCTCATACTAAGTGGGGAGGAATCCTGAAGGTACAGTGTTGAAGTGCTCAGCTGCGAACTAGAAGATCAGTGGTTCCGATTCACCAGCTACCTTGAGAGGGAAACCTGTGCAGACTGCTTCAGTACAGATTACAGCCTTCGAAATCTTGTGGGGCAGTTCTACTCTGTCCTCTGGGGCCACTAATCAGTCAGAATCGATTTGGTTTGGCTAGAGGTTTGGTTTATAATAAGGTATTCTCATTACAGCGAAAACAGTCCACCTAATTATTCTTTAAGGCATTTTCTGACTTACTCTTCCAAGCTTTATGATTCCAGAGATCTTAAAAATGACAGCCAAATCAACAAACAAACACATATCTTTACTGGGTTTCTGACTGAAGCCACACTAAATCTGTAAGTTAATTTGGAAAGCTTTTTACAGCATTGACTCTTCTTTTCAACAAATAAAATAACTTTTCTAACTGACTATATTCAAGTCAGTTAAGGTTTTATGTTTCTTCCTATTTTTTTCATATTGTAAATATTTCTCTGCATTAATCTCTCTATTTCATTGTTTTCTTTTGTATTAATTTTAAGCTGATCACCTTATTATATTCAACTATATCAAATAACTCAGTTGATTCTATTTTCTAGGAATACAATACCACCTATAAATAAAAATAAATTTGGTTCCTTTTAACCAATATTGCTAAGAAAGCATTCATGCATTTATCTTTACTCATTATTTTAAGCAAAGATGGATGGTGAACTTTGTAAAACTGGTCAAAGGGTCCATTAGTTTATTAACACAGGTTTTCCAATTTAGAAATATCTTTCCATTTCTATGAACAGACAAACAATCCAAATTCACTGCTCCTGGGTCAATTCTGATTCATACAGACCTGTAGGACAGGGTAGAACTGTCCCCTGTGGGTTACCAAGACTGTAACTCTTAATGGAATAGAAAGTCGCACTTTCACCTGAGGAGTAGGTGGCTGGTGGTTTCAAACATTTAACCTCTGTTAGGAGTCCAACAAGTAACTGACAACGCCCCCACTGACTTCCTATCCCTGTTAGTCATGGTATCTTATTTAATAATCTTTTATACTGCATTCGTTAATATTTTAATTTAGGGTTTTTAACAATGGCATGAAACTCACCTGATATTTTAGGACATCTACATTATAATAAGAAGCAGCTGGATTTTGCTCTGATAGCTTCTTGAGGTAGAGAGTAACAGCTTGCATGTTCATCCAAAAATCTTTTGTGTTGGAATCACACTGTGATGGATCACTGTATAGAGAAGAAATGTTTTCATTATTTTGCTTTCTTTTTTTTTTTAACCACTTATTAATGTGGTGACTTTGGGAGGACTAGTAGAAATGAACCAACAACGTGAAGAAGGAACATTAGGGGGACAGAGCCTGGTGCCCAGCACAAGGTTGCCTGGTGAAAGAGAAGATGGGGAAGATTGCACCACCACCACCACCACCACCACCAAACTGAAGACCAAAGAAAACACACAGACAGAACGGCTGCTTAATGATAAGTACTTCTGGTATTGTCTTCAAACGGACAATTCTTGTTTCAAAGAGGGAAGCGGTTTCTTTAAAGAGAAGCTGCACTGCTCTGCAAACACTGCGATAATGGAAAGCACACCCACCTGAACACAAGCTGTGCATTCGGAAGAATCTGCTCAAGCCTGCTGAGGTTTTTCACCCTGAAGCACAGCCCAGCCGGGGCCGGATTGCTGGTGAAGACTTTAATAATGCCGCTTGGGAAGGAGATTGTGATGTCACCAGTGATCTTCACAATACACCTGAAACCGGGATGTCAAAAAGTGACTACATAATAAGATGCCTGACCCTCCACTCAAAGTATAATTGGTTTAACAACAAAATATGTATACATAAAATACTCTATCTGCATATGCATGGCTTTCATTATAACTAGATGACTTATTTTAAGTACACACAATGGTTGTACATGAAATAATAGACTCTTCCGGCATTAGCTTTTACTGAGAGTGAACACTTCATACAAATGGAAAGACGACAGTGTTCCTTCACTTTTCCGGGGCCACCATCCCCCTGGTGGTCCCCTGAAGACATCACTGACCTAGAAACAACGCCTAGTGGTCGCTGTTTTCCGACATACAGAGCACGGGGCCTATGGGTGGTGGGAGATGGCGTGCTTGCTCTCGTGGCCTCTCCCAGGCCCTGCAAACACTACGCTTAAAGATTTACAACCTGAGAGCCCCTACATAGAGGCCCTATGAGTCAGTATCAACTTGATGTTGGAGGGTATTTTATTTTTGTACATCTAAATGAAAGCGACTACTAGCACAAATCCCAAGCACGAAAGCAGTAAAATGCTCCCGACTGTACCGCCTCACTCCTGCCACTGCTCGTTTCTCTGCCTCACTTAGAGCAAAGCATATGGAGAAGCGTTTTCTGTATTTGCAGTCCCTTCTGCTGTAGAACTCCCTCCAAGGAGCTTTTCATGTCCACTAACTACTACAGGAAATGTTGCTCTGGGGAGAGTCACCAGTGTCTTCCATATTGCCCAGGTAATGTTTCTTCGCTCCTTGGCAGCAGCAACGGATACAGCTTCACCTTTCTTCACGATACGGCGCTCACTTAAGTTTCTCACACACTGCTTTATTGGGTCCCTGTTCATGTCTCTGCTGCTGACTCTTTCAACCTCCTTTGCTGTATCATTCTCACCTTCCTGACTTCTAATCCCTGGAGGACCCAAGGGTTTAGTTCTCAAACTTCCTTCTAACAACTCCCCAAGGCCCACAATTTTCATTATCAACATTCAAACTAAGGTCTATAATTAATTATCTCTACCCTGGACACAGCTCCTGAACTCCATAGTTATTCGTTCCCGTGGATTTCAAACTTGACAACTGTTTTCAAAATGTATTAAGAATCTCATTACTCACCATCTCTGCTACCAATACCCATATCCAAGCCACTGTCACCTCTCACCTAGGTTTCTACAGTTAACCCTGTAACCAGCAGGCCCTCTAGTTTATTCTTCAGGTAGCAGCCAGAGTATGCCTTCAAAAACCTAAGCAAGGGGGGAGCGGGGAGGGAGGGGAAAAATGAGGACCTAATGCCGGGGTTTAAGTGGAGAGAAAATGTTTTGAGAATGATGTACAAATGCGCTTTACACAATTGATGTGTGTATGGATTGCGATAACAGTTGTATGAGCCCCTAAAAAAAGGTTTAAAAAAGAGTTGTATGAACCCCTAATAAAATGATTAAAAAAACAAACAAAAATAAACCTAAGCCAGTCATCCCTGTTCTAATTAAACCCTCCACTGTCTTCCTACTTGACTCAAAAATAATTTGAAACTGTTTATCAAGGCTTGCAATACCAACTTAAGCTGGTACCTCTCTGGATTCACCCTCTACTCCTCCCCTCTTGCTGACTCCTGCTCAGTGACAAACAGCTCTCCTTGCTACTTCTCGAATATGCCAAGTCTGCTTTATGTTGAATTCCTTACACCACTGCTTCTCTTTTGAAATGCTCGTCCCTCAGTTATCTGTACTGCATGCTCCTCCACTGTGGGGAGCAGAGAACAGAAAGAGAGTGTATACCGATGAATCCTTTATTCTCATACTTTAAAAGTCTGGCAGGCTGGGTTTCTGGAGTGGAGGGAGGCCTTTGCCCTTGTGAGATGGAGGTAAGTCCCCATCACATTCTCATAATTAATATTATTCCTCACTACACCCTTCCATAAAAGTGCTACCTTAAAGTTACCTCTTACAAGCACATGGCTGATAGCGCTCGCTCGCTCTCTCTCTCTCTCGTCCCACCATGATACCCAACCCTCTTGTACCCTCCCCCAGTGCAGGTTTCCTCACCTGTGACCTTAGGGGCCCTACTATTGACACACCACCCCCCTTGTGACATATGGGACTACTGAATACGCATGTCTATGGCTCCCTATAAATGTCTCAAGATAGTAAAGGTTTGCTCTCTCTTCTCCCAGTTCCACATGGTCCATCATGAGGAGCTGAGGTGAGCATACTACCATAAAATGTGTCTGGCTCCTTTATTTTATTCTCTCTCCTATCTTTCATGATTTTACTATAATCTTTTTATCATCGCCGGACAATTGTGCCTACTGGCCTTCGGTTGTTGGAGGCTGGTTTCTGCTGACTCTCCACCTCTTTTAAGCAGCTGCTAAGTTAACTCATTACGGAGGTTAACTTGATCTGAACTAGCGGCCTTCTATTGTTACTCTTTCTTCTCTTGCCCTGCTTTCCTTTTCTTCAAGGCATCTATCAACACTGATAATCCCAGAACCGAAGCAAAAACAACTCACTGCTACAGAGCTGATCCCAACTCACAGCCCCACGGGCCTTCCAAAGCGGTCCCCTTTACAGAAGCAAACTGCTACATCTTGATCCCACAGAGCGGCTGGTGGTTTCAAACTCCCAACCTTTTGTAGTGTTTCTTTATTCCCTCATTATAATGCAAACTCAGGAGAAAAGAACTTTGTTTTGTTCACTAAACTAATCCCAGCCCCTAATGTAGAGGCTGACACACAGGAAAGCACTCAAGTATTTGACGAGGGGATTAACGCAGAATAGATACTATTAAGAAAAGCAGGGATGATTATTCACACAAATACAATTCCCGTTAAAGACAGACAAAAATGAAGATAAATTAGGGAACAGGCATCACTACTACTGGTCGCACATATTTTCATTAGAAAGACAATCCCTTAAGACCGTATGAGACAGCAAAAACAGAAACTAGGTCAATACACAAATAATAGAAGACCCTGACCAAACATTTAACTCTATGCTCCTCCAACACACACACACACACACACACACACACACACACACGGTGCACGTGTTTATTTTTCAAACTAACTTGGTGGGATCTGCTCCTTTAAAGTAGGCGTTCACTGATTCTGTCAGCGCGATGGCCACGGGTAGGGTGTCCTGATTTCCCAGGCTGACAGGGCTGGGACCTCGTGATACACCTACAATACAAACAGTTCACTTGTTAAAGTTCTCAGAACGGCACATTAAATACCAAGACAGGGAGATTCACAATGTTAGCTGTCACAATTGACACCACTATTGGCTTCAATGCTGCCCAAAGTGCAGATCTGGAGGTTAAAAAACAGAGCATAAAACAAACTGGAACATGATACACAGGACCAAAAAAGACAAAGAAATCAGAAAAACATGTCACACTGACTTTTATTTTTAAAGGAATAGCAGAGGGTTAAGGAATGTCGAGGAATTAAAATTATAAAATAGGGCATCAGTCACACTCAAATACTAAATTCTTCCAGGTTCTAATAACCACTTAGCTCCGTGAAGTAAACTGGAGCTTTGCATTTAAACTATTTCTATCCAGGTACTAATACAGTGATACACTGTTGTCGTGCTCTCAGCCCCCTCTTTGTCTAGCGTTTGTGGTGTTGTGTCCACTGACACAGAGCAGCCCCACGCACAGCTCCATCTGGTGCGGGGACTGGTTGTGACAGGTTTCCACTGACTGACCGGTTGCCAGGTCTTTATCCTTCATGTGGACTCTCCACGAAACTGGTCAGTATTACAGCCACCAGCAAACCTCCAACTGGCAGTGGGGTGGTGGCTCTGCGTGAGAAGCACGGCCCCAGGAACAGCACCTAGCCTAGGCTCCAGCCAAGGTGGGCAAGAATTCTCCCTGAGCTACCACGGCATTCATCTTATTTCAGGGAAAATGATGCATGATTTAGGTCAATACGCATCTCAGAAATCTGCATATATGGTTTTGTTACATGAATGTTACACGATACTCAGTCATCAGATGTTTTCTTTTAGGTGTGATGACCTACAGAGAAAGTCTGAGCTACTTTTGAGATGGTGCAAGTGTTAATTCTGATAAAAATCAGCACCTCTTCCTCTGCTTCTCAACTATGGCTGAGATCTTGCGACCAACGAGAAAAGGTATATACCTCAACTCAGAAGCAAATTTTTATTCTAGATTTTGAAGAAAATTTGATTTAGAAAATTCTTCAAAACTGGAAAAAGAGTTCAGTGTTTAAAATACTTGGAGACAAGAACTACTGCTTAAAGGCCAATGGAATAAACAAGCCCCGCCAAAACAAACATCCAAAAACCTTTAAATTCATGAGAAAATAAAGATCTCAAGACTATGAAGTTATTTTAAGGTTACAAAACTATCACTTTCTAACCTCAAATATGCACCAGGTATACTTTGCTTAAGAGGCATGAGAAGGAGAAAAGGGTGCTTTTTTGAGCCACCAAGCAGAAGGATGCTTCCCAGGTGAGGAGGGCTGGGCCAGGATGACGAAAGGCTGTGAGCACAAAGCTGCACAAGTGTTGATGATCCAGACTGTGGCATGGAGCCCTGCTTTCACTGGCAGGCACAAAAACACACTGGAAACATGTCAGAGAAACCTCAGTGGGCTGTCTCAGTTAGTTGGATTACTCTGCACAGAGCAGAGCCTACACTGAGGGAAAGGGCGAGTGACTGTTGGCAAAGATTCAACTCTGTATCCGGTGAGAGATGGATCCAACAGAGATGTGAGAAGTGTACAGTGGAAAAACCGGCTATGCACACTCAGTGACAACAAACAAAACAAATTCACCGCCATCAAGTAGATTCTGACTTAGAGTGGCCTGACAGCGCAAGACAGAACTACCCCTGTGGGTTTCTGAGACTGTAGCTCTTTTGGGGAGTAGAAAACCACAACTTTCTCCCGCAGAAAGATGGTGGTTTTTAACTGCTGACCAACTGCGGACCTTGTGGTTAGCAGGTCAACGAGTAATACACTAAGCCACCAGGGCCCCTTATTCATCGACTAAGATGATGCAAATACGTGCTTGTACACGGGGAAAGTCCATGGAAATCTTAATTACTGTATACACTCATGTGTAAGCTGAGTTTTTCAGCACATTTTTAATGCAGTTTTGTGGTAAAATTAGGTGCCTTGGCTGATATTCGGGTTGGCTCATACTCTAGTATACACGGTAGTTCAGTCACATTTTCCCCTGATTATTATTCTAACACATCATCATCAGAAATTCAGGAAAGCAAATTTTCAGAGAAAAATGAAGGCTACAATCATCTTTCTTTAGCAAAGCAAATTATATGTAATTAATATTTTTGCTTAAATATCCTACCCAAATAAGTTATTGTTATATAAGTTATATAGTATTGTTATTATTATTATATGTTATTATTCAACTGCTTTGAAACCGAAAAGAAAGCTAGTTATTTTTTCAATTATATGATTTGTATATATATCAAAATTCTTGAAGTAGTTCCTCTACAAGATTTTGTTATGCCCATTACTGGAATGCTATCAAGTACAGAAAGGTGTTAGAAAGTACAAGGAAAACTCAAAATCCATCTAACATCCTGGCATATCATTTTCTATTTTTAAATTCAAGTTTCTGCTTACAATCAATTGGCTCAGGAATACTTCTTCAAAATGTACTGACATAGGAAGCATGTTCCTAGAAATTCTACATTGGTTCATTCAAAATAAAACTTTTGTAGAAATAAAATATTCTTCATATTCCTTCTAATTTGAGCTAACTTGTATATTTAGAGAATTACATGCTTTGAAAATACAAAGAGCTTATAGAGTTGAGACAGAGGTGTGAATGGGGGCACATTTCTATTAAAAAAAAATCAGTGAGTGTTTTTATGAAGTGCCTGTCAGGTCATGAGTTTAAAAGAGAGGCCCTCTTAAATATCACTTACATCTACCTGTGCCTTGGATTTCAGCTACTATTATTATTATTCTTTTAACTGATTCCCTTTCCTCATTAATCCCCTTTTCTTGGGTTCTCACAGCTTAAGAGTTAAGATTTGTTGAACTTCTTAAGACTGAGAGAAGAAGAACGGAAAGATGGGAGAAAATGCAAAAATACACATTTTAAAAAAATGATTAGAGATTTGATTCCAAATATTTCTGGACATTCACTGAAAATAATTAGTAGAGAAGTGGGACAGTTAAGCTTTCCAGTTATTCTTGATTTCTGAGACACTATATTGCTGGAAAAGGAAAAGTTAAGCCACGAAATATTTCAGAGAGACTTTAGGATCATTAGTCAACATACACATTTCCTTCCGATACCATACCTGGTGAGGTCTCCTGGTGCTTTTCAGATTCAGAGAGTGTCCCAATCAAATTATCATCTTCTATCATATTTAAATAAAACAAAATATTGCAGAAGAAAACATTTTCAAGAAACAAGAATAAAAATTTTCAATCTAAGCAAAAAGCTTAATAAGCATCGTAACAAAAAAGAGAACTTTCTAGTACATTTAAAGAATTCTTGTATAAAACCCCCACACACCCAGCCTGCTGGTGCCAGCACTGCCACCTAATTTAGCACTGGCTCAAACTATGAGCAAATCTGAGGAAAAATGGCATGAAAATTGAAATTCTCCATGTACTTTTTGAGGTCCTCTTATATATACCAACTCAATCAAAAGTAATTTAAGGTTTCCATTAACAAACAAAATCTCTAAATAATCTAGTGATAATGGAAAAGAACTAAAGCTTACCTTGTTTGAGCAGACCACTTGCCCTATCTGATTACTAGCAGGTAGGATCATCTATTTTCCATGTGTATAACACAGATTGTGTGAAAACAAACACTAACAAACTGCGTATACAAACACTGAGAATGCAGTTTTAAAACAATAAAAAGCTTATTAAATACAGTCATCCTATATAAACTTAAAAATAGGAAAAACACTGGGTTCACAAAGGTATATAAAAATAAGAAGGGCTGTTAGAGAGCAAACAATCAGCTTCACTCTCATCTGTGCTACTCAGGCCATCTTTACAGGAGCACACACATCAGCACTTCTGAGTTTTGAAAGAGTAATATATATAATTCAATCAACTTAACTGGTGTAGTTCTCAAATTTGGCATGCATTAGAGTCACCTTGGAAGCTTATTAAAATAGATTGGCTCATTCCCTCGCCATAGTTTAAAATTTAAAAGGCCTGCATTTCTCGTAAATTCTCAGGTGATGGAGATGATGCAAGTCCAGGGGCCACACCTGGAAGCCTACTCAGTCTGTGTCAAATCTCTACACACCAGTGCCCTGAACTATTATGGACAACCCTGTCACTGCCGAGAACAAACAGGAGGAAGAGTTTTAATAATTTTTGATGAGAGGCTGTTGTTTCAGAAACGTGCATGCTTTACGTGTTCTTGTGATTTATTACCCTATCGATGAGTAGAAAAGGTAGGAAGATTTTGTAGAAAAAGTAAAGATAATAACAAGAAAGTCTTAAGTAAAAATGACATGCAATGAAATGCTGGATTTGTTTGGTGAGGTTTACGCTTACATTGTGATACCTTAATAGTTATTTTTTAAATCTGTATTATTTAGATTCCTATAAGGGAAAAAATTATTTTAAGCACAAAGCCCCTTTCTTTCATTAAGTCAACTGTTTTTAAAACACAAACTTCCTTAGGAAGGTTAATTATCAGTTCACAGCAGAAAATAATTGCATTATATTTTGTCTCCAATAATTTCTACGGATCAATGTTCGTAAACTTGATGCTTTCGTAACAGTGCTATGATTAACACTTTCCTACTCAAAACGATAAAGGGTCCCTGGTGGCATAGTGGGTATACAGTCTGAATCCACCAGTCGCTTCCACAGGAAAAAGATGAGTTTCTTGGCTCCTACAACTGAAAGTCTAGGAAACCCTCGGGGCAGCTCTCTCTGTCCTGTGAGGTGGCAATGAGTCAGAACTGACTTGACGGCAGTGGGTTTGTTTTTTGGGGGGAGGGGCCTGACAATATAGATTGTTAATAAGAAAATGAAAATGTGGCTAGTTTGAGAATTTCTTTCCTGATTTAAAAAAACTCTGTTAAATTTCTCATTAGTCCATTAAAATCACCATCACCACCACCACCACCACCACCCTGATCTTATTTGGGGCCCAAATGTCACCTACAATTGGTAACAGTCACTTACCTACTGTTGGAGTATTGGCTGCACTCAAGGACGCAGCGGATGAGATGGAGGAAGAACTTTCTGCCCGGGCTAATGGAGCAGCAGGAGGTGGGCTGGTGTTAGAAGTTACAGGTGGGCTGAATGGCCTGGGCTTAAAAACAGAAAGTTATTTATCAAAATGTTCAAATAACTCTCCCCAAAAGATTTAACTTCTCAAACTGAATTTTAATATACCAAAACCAAATTTACTGAGTAAGAGTTTAACAACGCACGCACACGCGCGCGCACACGCACATACACACACGACATAAAATCCAAGATGCATAGGCCCAATGAGTTTCAAGGAATTATTGAGAAATAGGTAGTTCTTAAATAATGTTGTGAAAGGGTCTTTGCATGAGACACTTCAGGACATCACAATCAATGCGCCTCTAGCGCATTAAACAATGGCAGCAAGGCAGCAGCGGACTCAAGCGCCGGAGCAGCAGTGCTTCGCTCCGATGTGCACAAGTCCCCACAGGCCAGAAGCGACTCGACAGCACCTGACAAACACCAGGCTCTTCAACACAAGGACCTACTAACTGCTTCCTGAAGGGTTATTCACTATGCCTATAAATATCTGATACTAAATACGCAAGAACATATTTTCTCTGCAACCTTACCTGAAAGATGCAAAACACTTAAAACACTCCGTTAACTTGATAGATAAAAATATAATTTGCATTTCCTCATCTAAGAATTATCTATGTGAACTTTGCCTAATTTTGTTCTATGAAATCCTTGTATTCCTTGAATGCTAATCAGTCCTATGCTTTATTAGCTGCAAATATTTTCTCCTTAACATTGGCTGCTCTTTGCTTCTGGTGTTCATACCTGTGTCTATAATTTCCACTGTGATTCTTTGTAATGTTTCCTCATTGAGAAGGTTCACCCCATTCAGAAGTTTACGAACAAACAAGAAAAATATAACTCCAAATCACTTATCTTTATTTGGTGCACACGTTGTTCCAAAATCCTAATTGTTCACATTACATTAGCAACACTGTGAGGGGTTTTACACATTTTAAAATTTGGCTCATTTACGTGAGCTCAACTTTCCTTGTGTATAGCCTAACACTGGCCAGATTCCCTCCAGGACCCTCCTGGCAGTATCCTTCGAAGGTCTAAGAATAAACTACCATTTATTCCTTACTATTTGGCTTAAGCAGAATTATATGAAAATTGCTTCTTTATTGTGAGTGGGTCCTGAATGCTATTTTTGTAATACACCAACTTTCTCGGCAAATATCTACCCCCCCCCAGCCCCTCCCCCCAAGATAGTACACGTTTGCTATCATTTTAGCAAATCTCTTCTCTCCTAAACAATATCCTATTCGACAGGTAGGATCGCAGAGGGACTAGGAAGTGAAGAGGGAGTTTTTAGTTGGGAAACTTTTACTGTACTTTGCAGATTCAAGGAGGAAATTTCAAGCATTTAACGATAAAGGGGCAAATGGAAAAATATCGCGTTCATCTTAAATCAACATAGTTATATAATTAAACACTGAAACCAAAGACCTGAATACATACTATTTCATTAATCCCACTGAGTCTGCCCGAAGAAAGCTTTGGTCTGGAAGCCGGCCTTGGTGGTGGGACAATGGTGCCCACCGAAAGAGGAGTTGTGGGCCTGGCTGGTAGAGGAAAGAGCATTTGAAGAAAATCATTAGTATACAGCAATCCTTAGGTAAAGACATTCTATTGTAGAGGAATAGTAAAGATTCAAAGTTGATTTTTCAAGAAGTTTTAAAAAAACGTAATTATACATATTTGTTGACATTCTGGGGGTCTACCTACAAATAGACTTTTTTTTTTTAAGTTAGCAAATAACATTCCTGGGGGTGAAAGGGTTAACTTTTCAACAAAACTAATGAACATTAATATAAATTCTATTCCTATTTCAATCATTTATATATACAAAAATTAAATCTGGTAAATCAACTGGAAAAAATAAATTTAAGGCTTAAGGTCTTTAGTCTGTTGTCAATGATACATCTAAGTTACAGACAGTATAGCAAGACAAAGCACTTAGAACAGAATAGTAACACAGTGCTGAATACGCCTACCTTAATTAAACATGTTAATTAGAGTTTAAAGATGAACCAAGTTGTAACATTTTTTATTTATCAAAAGTATTTTTTAAAAACGTATTAGTTTATTATTTCCCAAACTAAATTTTATTAATTTTTGGTAAGCCTTCAAAATAAAATCTAACTTTTCCTAAATCCTGTAAAAATATAGACGTCATTGTTTTTCAGCGTTACTTGGGTTTTCACAATTTCACATACCAAGAATACTAATCTCCACATGTAGACCTAATTAAAACTAATTCTTACAATTGCAGGGATAACCAAATGAAAATAAAGTTTATAATATCAAAAGTCACAAACACATCTGCATAATCAAAGCCAAGACGTAAAGGGAAAGAAGTCTAAATCATTAAACAGATGAATCTGAACGGCTTTCTAACCCCGCTCGGTCCATCCCCAAACATGGAGTTATTATCATTTAGAGGCTGGCGAAGGTAACAGAACCTGTAGGGAAAGAAACACATGCAGCACGTTCTGTAAGTCAGCAGATGGACAAAGTTAAAGAATATGAATGAGTCTTGGTGTGTACATAGGGAAACAAACAGTAAAGCGTGTTTCCATCGAGAAGTGGAGGTGTGAAAGACACCTGGAGGTGGCCGGAAGAGAACTAAAGGACTGGCTAATCACAGGGGAATAAAAGTACACATGCAGAGAGAGAGTCGATTAGAAAGCCTACTGCATGAAGAAATACAACATGCACACCCAATTCAGATAGCCAAAATAAAATGGTACACTGACAGCAGCTGAGAGCCTAGGGCTGCTGCCTTCTTCCAATCAGGCCTGCTTCTCTCAAGCAGTACTCATACTTTAGGCTGGAAGCTGGAAGAAACCAGCACTAACCTGAGAGCCCTAAGACTTCCCTGTGCTATGACAGGCCCACTCTGAGACATGTTCGCTATCAGTTACACCCACACTGACCTATACTCTCTGGTTATTTCAACCCGAGAGAGCTTGGGAGAGCAGAGGCACTTACACCTGGACCTTGACTAAGTGGCCTAGCCATCATGACATTTAGATGGGTGCAAACCCAGGCTGGTAGAAGGGCTACATGTATTTAACTCTTACAAACAAAGCAGAACATTTTGAGGGCAAGCTAACAATAGTACCTATAAACACCAGAATTAACCTTTATTAAATCTGCATATCCACTAGCCACTGCTTCTTGAAGCCTCTGCAGGAATTGACTACAACATTCCTAAGTGTCCTAATTGTGTTTTGATTTTTAGTGATGGAGATGGCTAAGAAATGTTACTTAAATTCAATAGTGCAAGAAATATTTTTTAAAAAAAAATTTTTTTTAAAGGAAATAGGAAGTAATCTGTGAAATAGAAAAACAGGCATTCAGGGCTAATCAATACCTGCCCTGTGACATTACCTAAGAACAGACATGGCATGTTTTCCATACCATTCTTTATATCAGTGGTTCTCAACCTTCCTAATGCCACGACCCTTTGATACAGTTCCTCATGTTGTGGTGACCCCCCCAACTATAAAATTATTTTTGTTGCTACTTTATAAGTGTAATTTTGCTACTGTTGTGAATTGGGTGACTCCTGTGAAAGGGTTGTTTGACCCCCAAAGGGGTCGCAACCCACAGGTTGAGAACTGCTGCTGTATGTGATCAAAGACAGAGGCTAATTTAGAATCCAGAAGCAATGATGAAGCTGTAGAAGAATTATCAGCAGCATTATTAGTTTCTTCAGTAGTCATTTTTCAGGACATGTACTATTATGACAAAGATCATTTTGTTCCTCAGAGATGCAGTTGTTGGAAGACCTCCAATCCAAAGCATCAGACAACCTGAAGGTATTTCAGCGTTCCAACACAATCTCTGGAATGCCTTCTGAGCTGCACTGCAGTGAATAACTGTAACAAACTCCCCAGACAGAGAGATCCAGTGACTTTTGTGACCAGTAAGCAAAAAAGAAACTCATCTGTGATCTCTGGTGGTGCTGTGACAGCAGCGTGGCGTAGAGGGTTAGGGGAAAGTGTGGCTTCTAGACCCCAGAATCTGACCCGATTCCAAGGAAAGATTCCCTTTACCGTATACTCCGTCACACCAGTGGGAGAGGAAGAGGCGTTCCTAGTCTGTTCTTTAAGGATAGCTGAAGATGCAAACAATCGGAAACTAGAAGTAACAAGGTTAGTAAATTGTATTAAAAGGTAAGAAGGAAAAAAATGTAATATTGTAGGAGACCTTTGTGTTAAAACAAAAAAGGACAATATGTTAACAATTACTTAGAAATACTAGGCTAGGTGGCAGCAGCGCAACCACCTCACTCCTCAGCCAGGTTCTGACATGCTCTTTGAACAGGTAGCAACACTGGGAAGCTTCACACATCAGTTATTATAAAAGTGTAACATTGCCTTCATCTGGCAGTTATTAGATTTGGTTGGAATCATTTACTTAGACTTCTTCATTCTAACAGTGTGGCTGAAACTGGGTCACTGCTGAATGAAGAACATGAAAGAGGCCAGGGAAGGCAGGCAGTGACTTGACATCTGGGACTTTGCTCAACTGGACAATAGGAACGGGAGCAGATGTTGTGATGGGGAAAGGTGTACTGCAAGGCAAAAGCAGCTGTCATCACAGTGAAGACACGAGATCTGTATTTCACAATTTCACCCAGGGCCACTCTTTTAAGACAGGACACTATCAATAATGTTATGCTGTTTGATCATTAGTTGCTTTATGTGGAGACATAATTAAAATAATGACTACATAATTGTCTTTTTGCAACTTCATATTTTTTGCAGGGCAAAAATAATTTATGACATTATTTTTCAAAATATACGGGGAGGTTTAAAAATGCATGCTGAAGTGAATTTAAAAACCAGCAAACACTTAAATGTTTTAACATTTCCTAATTGCTAAACATCATATGAACACTGAATGAAAATGTATCTTTTTTTTACCTGAAGTGAAGGCGATATGGGCGAAACAGTCATTAGACAGGTAGCAAGAAGAGGAGAAAGAAGTTTTTTGAAAAAGAGACTGTGCTAAAGAAAACAGCAAGAAAGAAAGCATGGAATTATGAAGAAACTTCTATATAATCAAAGGCTCTGTGTTATGGATTAAAATATTTCTATTAATGATTTGAATGGCTTATAAAAGGATAATAATACTATTTAAAATTACCACTTAGAATGCTCATTATGTTAAATAAAAAACACCATCTGACATTTTTTTAAAAAA